AATTGGTTTATGGTCTTATGAATCAAAAGTGACACATTGGAAGTTTTGATAAGACAAAAAGTTCTGTTCAGCCTTTGATAAAAAAAAGAGAGTAATGTTGAAACTTGGAATAGCCAGCGCCGTTACAGTGGATCAGTTTGAACATATGTCAAAGTGTGTACAGGTTTAGCCTCGCCCCAAAAACACCACAATCCATAGTTCCTGCGTCTTTGGGTACATTTTCCGATCGACACCATGATGATTTTTCAGACCAAAAGCGTCCGCAGTCAGACCCTCGCTGTGCTCTACAGGTAACAAATTACTGTGCAGTCCACAAATGTACGAACCCGAGGACTGGACAGAATGGCTTCAAAATCCAATTTCCCCCAAAGCTGCGACACATTCAGAGGGCGGCACTTTTCGATGACTGCGCCTCCACAGACCGGCCATCTTTTTGTGTGTGTGTGTGTTTCTCCACATGTAGTGCAGAGGGCAATGTCACTATGAAAATTCTATCAAAAGTTGTGAACGGTAATGACGGTGTTGTGGTGTTTTTCTTTCTCATAATGCATTTTGGTGTCAGTGTAGATCCATTTAGTAGAAGTATTTGAAAATTTGTTTTGTAGTTGAATGTACTGATTGTTTTGACAGCTTCTGACCATGTTACAGTTGTACTGTATACCCTTGTAATGTACACACTTGATAAGGTTTTTAGAGCGATTTATGGTTTTTGGAGTACTTTGTAGTCTTCTATGACCAAAAAGCAACTGCTCCGCCCTGAATAATGACATAAATCTTTGACTTTTAACTCAAAGGGGAAAAGAATACTGCTGATTGCTAACTTTGTTTTGTATCGGGTTGCATTATGGCAAGGCTGGATACTGAAGTCTGTACAGTCTCATTTCTTCTTCTGTTGCAACATTTGTACCAACAAAAAGAGTCTTATAAAAGTCAAATGTCGTGGAAAAATTAGACCACAAGACGTTTATTGTGTACTTTGAGTTCTGATTGGCTGAATGAGGACGGCTCGCTCTTTTTCATATTACTGTCTGAAAAAGCTGATCTAAAGCTTGGACCGAGGCCAAAAAAGACATGCATGTGAAAACTAGTGCTAGAGCCAAACAGTTTTAAAAGTATGGATTGTGTTACTTATTCAATGTTGTGGTTGGTTCAACTTTAATTGGAACATTTTGTTTGTGGCAATCTCCTTTCGTACATTTTGCTTCAGGCCCCAGGATGGGAGTTTGTGACAGTCACTCTATAGCAAGAACAGAACTTTTTGCCACTCGTTACAACAATACCTGAAAACATGCATCTATACCAGGGGTTTCCAACCTTTTAAAAACGAGAGCCACTTTTATAAAACAGAAACAGCAGAGGCATAATAAAATCGTAGTCTGTATAATAACCACAGCCATCATAGAAAACACACACATGTATAATATACCGTTGTAAATAAACATGTAATGGCTCAAAAGTGAATCAATCAGGATCATGTGTTAAACTCTTTCTTTGGGGAGCTACCCGAAAGGCGATGGCGAGCTACCGGTAGCTCCCAAGCCCCAAGTTAAAGACCCCTGATCTCTCCAATGAGGATAGTGATATTGCTGATTTCACAGGAGGTGACGTCTGTAGAGATTTGGACCATAATTATTTCTGTCAGCTGTGATTAGCTTCATGATTCAAATGTTTTAGTCAAAGTTCTTGTTGCTTTTTTGAAGTCTCTGTTTTGACTGGTTTTGTCATTGTGCGAATTGTCCTAAGGTCAAACAGAGTCCAACACTGAGTTATGGAGACGAGTTAATAAATATATGCACATGACACGTTTGCCCTATTTATTGGTGTCTGCTGGGAGATCTGCCTGCCGCCATGTTTGTGACAGAGAATGTGGGCTAATACATGCATTTTCTGTGGATGTGTGTGTGTGTTCTGCCTATCGTCATCTCCAGCTTTTGGCTTGTTCTCCTCATCTTCTAAAGTTGGCTGTATGAAAAGGGGTTTAATTTTTGTATTATTGAAACATCACATTGTAGTTTCCATGTGGGCCAGTGAGAGTTTTTTTTTTTTCTTTTTTTCATTTTGTTTATAATTAATTCTCCAAATGAGAAATTAGACATCAATGGGTTTGGGATAATTTAGCCTGATTCACTCTTTTTACAAATACAGTACACTATAGACAATACACTCTTCATCTTCGGCCCCTCCGACCCCCACCAACCATTCACACACACTCCAGACTCATTCTAGACCCACTGTGGTACCTGGTGTTCCCAGAAGTCTTCCATCACAGCACTTACCAGGCCCTGTCCTGCTTTGCTTAAGAGGCTCTATCTGCTCAATCAGATGAAGCCTGGGATCAGAGTGGTCAGACCGGTTTAGGAGCAACATCTAATAGTCAAATGTTTTAGTCCACTCCGTATTTTTATGCTGAGTAAGATCCCAAAATAAAGACATTCTGGGATGCTGAGCGAGACCAGAGAGAGACCAGAGAGAGAGACCAGGGAGAGGGACCAGGGAGAGAGAGACCAGATAAAGAGACCAAAGAGAAAGACCAGAGTAAAAGGCCAAAGAGAGAGACAAAGAGAGAGATCAGAGTGAGAGAGACCAGAGAGAGAGAGACCTGAGAGAAAGACCAGAGTGAAAGGCCAAAGAGAGAGATCAGAGTGAGAGAGACCAGAGAGAGAGAGAGACCAGAGAGAGAGAGACCAGAGAGAGAGACCAGAGAGAGAGAGACCAGAGGGAGAGACCAGAGAGAGACCTGAGAGAAAGACCAGAGTGAAAGGCCAAAGAGAGAGATCAGAGTGAGAAAGACCAGAGAGAGAGAGAGACCAGAGAGACATACCAGAGAGAGAGAGACCAGAGGGAGAGACCAGAGAGAGACCTGAGAGAAAGACCAGAGTGAAAGGCCAAAGAGAGAGACAAAGAGAGAGATCAGAGTGAGATAGACCGGAGAGAGAGAGACCAGAGAGACAGACCAGAGAGAGAGAGACCAGAGGGAGAGACCAGAGAGAGAGAGACCAGAGAGAGAGAGACCAGAGGGAGAGACCAGAGAGAGACCTGAGAGAAAGACCAGAGTGAAAGGCCAAAGAGAGAGATCAGAGTGAGAGAGACCAGAGAGAGAGAGAGACCAGAGAGAGAGAGAGACCAGAGAGAGAGAGACCAGAGAGAGAGAGACCAGAGGGAGAGACCAGAGAGAGACCTGAGAGAAAGACCAGAGTGAAAGGCCAAAGAGAGAGATCAGAGTGAGAGAGACCAGAGAGAGAGAGAGACCAGAGAGACAGACCAGAGAGAGAGACCAGAGGGAGAGACCAGAGAGAGACCTGAGAGAAAGAGACAGCAGAGAGAGACCAGAGAAAGTTAAATCATCCACACTGGAATTGTAAAGAAAGACAGTATAAAAACAGTATATATACAGTAGCCTGGCCAACAATGCACATCAGCATAGATCATGACACATTCTCCCCTGAAACCCTTCTCTCTCTGTGTCTTTGTTGTTTTTTTTAACGCTGGGCGGACGTGACATGTGCCAGTAGAAATTGGCATTTGTGAAAAACACTGCTTCATCTGCTGGAACTGCCCACCGGCACTGTGCACGACGCCTGGAAATGTCACTTCACAACACGTCCCTCTGTCACCGGGGAGAAAATGTGATGCTTAAGCGACTAGACTAGAACAAACATAAATTATACATTATGCTACTGGTTTTTTTTTTTTTTTTAAGATGGAATGATGTGTTGTTCCTCGCGTTGCCATGCGCCCGATTCGATCCAAGATGGACGCTGTTTGTTTACCAGGACAAGATGCTCATTGGCACATGTACAGGTTGAGATTATATAACACACAATCGCTCTGATGGAGATATGAAAAGTCCCAAAGATTCGTCAAAAACCTACTTCAGAGCTGTCTGCGGCTTTCATTGGGCTTCACTGAAACTCTTCCCTCTATTTTCGCTGTTTTGTTCCTACATGAAATTTGTCCCGTGTGTCTCTTGTTTTCTATTATTAGAGAGAGCAGTGAGAGAGAGAGAGCAGTGACAGTGAACAGATATAGAACAGAGAGAGACCAGAGTGAGAGACCAAAGAGAGAGGGACCAGAGAGAGAGAAAGAGATATAGCTTCAGAGAGAGAGACCAAAGAAAGAGAGAGAGAGAGAGACCAAAGAGAGAGAAAGACAGAGACTGGAGAGAGAGATCAAAGAGATATGAGAAAGAGATACCAGAGAGAACAGAAAGAGAGACCAGAGAGAGAAAGATGGAGAGAGACTAGAAAGAGATACCAGAGAGAGATGGACGTTAGAGAGACCAGAGAGAGACTAGAAAGCGATACCAGTTAGACGGACCAGAGAGAGAAAGACAGGAGAGAGACTAGAAAGAGATACCAGAGAGACGGACCAGAGAGAGGAACAAGAGAGAGAAACTGAAAAGACTCACCACTGGGATGGACCTGAGCGAGAGGAACCAGGGAGAGAAAGACTGGAGAGAGACTAGAAAGAGATACCAGAGAGACAGAGCAGAGAGAACAAAAACAGAGACCAGAGAGAGAGGGAGAGACCAGAGAGAGAAAGATGGAGAGAGACTAGAAAGAGATACTAGAAAGACAGACCAGAGAGAAAGACTGGAGAGAAACCAGAAAGAGATACCAATGAGATGGACCAGAGAAAGACAAGAGAGAGAAACCAGAGAGAGAAAGACTAGAAAGCGATTCCAGAGAGAGAGAACATAAAGAGAGAAAACACTGGTCAGAAATCCATCTACGTTGACGATACTGAAAGAAACACTTTATTACTGGTCTGTCAGCATTTCTACGCCCTCTCTGTATGTACGAAAGTGACATTTTTTTCCGTTTTTAAATACATTTCTCATTGACGCCGAAGATACGTAACAGAAAAGAGGACGCAGATAAAGAAGCTCTGTACAAACTGCTGATATGAAGAAGCCGTGACTTTTGCAGCGGTCGGATTCTTTCACCACAACACAAAAGCCATGAGCGGTGAATGGGCCGCTTCTACAGCTCCACGCCGTATCACGACGTCACGTGTCTGTCAGGCGGAGGCAGGCGAACCCCGCTCCATGACGATAAGACACGCATAGCAACAACGTGGGAAGCTGGGACCAACTGGAAGAAGGGATTGGCCAGAGATGAGAAAAAGTGGATGATGTCGTCTCGATGTTCTTTGTTCTTCAGGACCTTCTTGTGTTTCACAGCAGAGAAAGACTGGAGAGAGAAGAAAGAGATACCAGAGAGAGAAATATTGGAGAGAGACTAGAGAGAGACTAGAAAGAGATACCAGAGAGAGAAAGACTGGAGAGAGACTAGAAAGAGATACCAGAGAGAGAAAGACTGGAGAGAGACTAGAAAGAGACTAGAAAGAGATACCAGAGAGAGAGAAACCAGAGAGAGAAAGAGTGGAGAGAGACAAGAAAGAGACACCAGAGAGACGGACCAGAGAGAGAGAAAGACTAGAGAGACTAGAAAGAGATACCAGAGAGACGGACCTTAGAGAGACCAGAGAGAGAAACCAGAAAGAGAGACCAGAGAAAGACTGGAGAGACACTAGAAAGAGATACCAGAGAGACGGACCAGAGAGAGCGAATGACTAGAGAGAGACTAGAAAGAGATACCAGAGAGACGGACCTGAGAGAGACCAGAGAGAGAAACCAGAAAGAGAGACCAGAAAGAGGGACCAGAGAAAGACTGGAGAGAGACTAGAAAGAGATACCAGAGAGACAGACCTGAGAGAGACCAGAGAGAGAGAAACCAGAGAGAGAAAGACTGGAGAGAGACTAGAAAGAGAGACCAGAGAGACGGACCAGAGAGAGAGAAAGACTAGAGAGAGACTAGAAAGAGATACCAGAGAGAGACCAGAGAGAGAGAAACCAGAGAGAGAAAGACTGGAGAGAGACTATAAAGAGAGACCAGAGAGACGGACCAGAGAGAGACCAGAGAGAGAAACCAGAAAGAGACACCAGAAAGAGGGACCAGAGAAAGACTGGAGAGAGACTAGAAATAGATACCAGTGAGACGGACATGAGAGAAACCAGAAAGAAACCTGAGAGAGACCAGAGAGAGAGAAAGACTGAGAGAGACTAGTAAGAGATACCAGAGAGACAGACCTGAGAGAGACCAGGGAGAGAGAAACCAGAGAGAGAAAGACTGGAGAGAGACTATAAAGAGAGACCAGAGGGACAGACCAGAGAGAGATAAATCACAGATGGGTCAAAGAGAGACCAGAGAGAGAGAAAGACTAGAGAGAGACTAGAAAGAGATACCAGCAAGACGGACCTGAGAGAAACCAGAAAGAGACCTGAGAGAGACCAGAAAGAGACCAAAGATAGATAATAATAGTAATAACAATAATAATAATGCTAAAAATGCATTGGTTTCATACAGCGCTTTTTTTAGATACTCAAAGACGCTTCATGTGTCATTATTTATTCACGAACACAGTGGAGTATTGTAGCAAACTCTTTTCATTGGGATAAACAAATGCATTATTCATGACACATAAGCGGTACCTTTAATGTGTCTCTTTTCTGTGTAACTTGCCAGGCCTTAGAGCTATAGTTCCTTACTCTCAAAACAGTTTGGTTCCATCACTAGTTCTTCCACATTTGCAGTTTTTATCCCCATCACATATTTACAGCAGATTTCTTAACAGAAAAGTGGAAAATAAGACGACTACCATCACTCAACCCATCATCTCTCAGCCTAAAGCGTAACAATAGTGACTCACATGGTCACTAGAGATTAAAGATACATGTTATTTTAATTTTATGTTATTTGATTTTACAATACTCTAAATACTCCAAAATTGTCACCCATTCTTCCCCTACTTTTCCCGCCGCTCACGTCTTTAAAAATTCCTCTTCTCCGTATTAACTTTATTCTTCCTCAGCTGGTACCTTAGACTGCTAATTTGCCACATGTGTTCTTGCTTGTGCGCATTGATGAGCTCTATGTGCTTCTCATTGGCTGAAATGTGTCACCAGACCTCAAGCACGCCATCTTCTTCTTCTTCTTATTCTTCTTCTCCTTCTCCTTCTTCTTCTTCTTCTCCTTCTTCTCCTTCTTTTCCTTGTTCTCCTTCTTCACCTTCTTCTCCTCCTTCTTCACCTTCTTCTCCTCCTTCTTCACCTTCTCCTTCCTCTGCTTTGTCTCCTTCGTCTCCTTCTTCTTCTCCTTCTTTTCTTCTCCTTCTTCTTCCTCTCCTTCTCTTTCTTCTTCTTCTTCTTCTCCTCCTTCTCTTTCTTCTTTTCCTTCTTCTCCTCCTCCTTCTTCTTCTTCACCTTCTCCTCCTTCTTATTCAACTTCTCCTCCTCCTTCTTCTTCTCCCTTCTTCTTCTCCTTCTTCTTCTTCTTCACCTTCTTCTCCTCCTTCTTCTTCTTCTCTACCTTCTCCTTCTTCTTCACCTTCTCCTCCTCCTTCTTCTTCTCCTGCTTCTCCTTCTTCTCCTTCTTCTTCTTTTTACAATACTCTAAATACTCCAAAATTGTCACCCATTCTTCTCCTAGTTTTCCCACCGCTCAGGCCTTTAAAAGTTTTGCATTAATCCAACATGTAGCGTTGACACGGACAGCCCTCTTTTTCCATACCAAGCATTACAGTCTGCACCTTTCTAATTTACCGTGAACAAAGTGACCTTCATTTCCTCCGGCTAACCCCCGCCTCTTTTCAATCAGCCCGCACTAATTCCCCCGCACTGTAGTCGGGGAGAACACGGCGTCCCGTAAATGAGCCATCAAAATTCACATCCACACTTGGCGGGTCAGCCCTTCATTCCGATGCAAAGGCACTTTTGGGGGAAGAGGGGGGAGGGGGGAGGGGTCAGGTGAGATAGGGGAGATTATGGAGGGAAAGGTGAGAGTGGATCGGCGCCGCAGAGACACTAAGTCAGAGATGTCATTCATAATGCATCTCCAGCTGTCGAGTTCATGAGCGTGAGCGGTGGCGGCGGCGGCCTGTCATGGGGAAAATGTGTGTGTACTGGGAATATATGAAGGAGGGTGAAGCTGTGTTTTAGATGTTAGAAGAAGTACTAACAATTGTGAAGAAGTCAGTGAATTAAAATATTATAGATTGATCCATGCCTTGTTTTCAAGGCACATAAATAAAAAGGCACGTATTATTCATATGTGGACTCTAAGGGTGTATTCAGACCTGCACATTTGCTCCACTTTAAACGGACCAGGATTCGTTTGGAACTCTGATCCGAATCTTTTATGCAGGTCTGAATACACACAAACGAATCCTGGTCCGGACCAAAGAACCGAACCGAGACCCACTTTTTGAGGTGGTCTCGGTCCGCTTCCAAACGAATTCTGGTCCAAGTCGAATCAGGTCTGAATACATCCGGTGTCGATCCGACACAACTCCAAGATACGTGCGCATTTTTTGGGCTTAACAAGCCACAGACAGAAACTGAGGAATTAGCCACGCGTCTCAGCGGCTAACTATGCTGCTAACTATGCTGCTAACGCTACACAACAACAATGAGCCGTGTGCAGACCTGGAGCAGTGAGGAGACGCTGTGCAACAGGCTTATGGAGTTAAAACTGTTCACAGTATACATTGATGTTAATGGCAGCATCTTCAAACCATTTGCATTATTAAAAGCCTGACACTGTTTGACTCACGTCTCAAAAAGCAATATTCTCATCATGTAGTGAATTGTGTTCTTTGGTTCCTACCTGATCCTCAGCGTCTGTTTGTCCCGTGGTTATTATAGATCCATGGTTTATCCACATGCTGCTGTCAGTAAGTTGTGGAACAGGGTTATTATCATAGATCCATGTGTGGAACAGGGTTATTATCATAGATCCATGTGTGGGACAGGACACGGAGCACAGACAGTCTCCTTCGGCTTTCTCCTCACGCATTCTCTGACGCTGTTCCAATATTTAAAACAACGTGTTTGGCCTGTGTCATATGAGCTGCTGCTGTTGATGTTGAAGGTGGTTTTGCTCTAAAAAGAGCAAACATAGGCAGAGCAGACATGCTGCACATACAAGCCCTCTGTTTTCCGCCGGTTCCGCGTCTATCCTCCGTGAGCTCTCGCTGTCCAATAGGAGCGCCGATCGTCACACGTGTCAATATGTTTATATAAAAAAGTTCACTTGCAAAAAGGACAGTCTGAATACGAACCGGAGCAAAAGAAAAAAGTTTGGTCCGCTTTTGATTCGGATCAAGCAAGCGGAGCAAAGGACTTTTCAGGTCTGAATACACCCTTAATGTGGTTACATGTTGAAGAATAAAATGTTCAACGATTTTTACTTGATGCGTTTGTGTATTAAATCCCTATTAAGTAAAAATTGTTGGACCGTTTGTTTTTCAACATGTAACCAGATTTATACATAATATATTGTTCTTAAGTCCTTTCTACTGGCCACCATCATGCCTAGGTTTTTGTTCTAATATTGCCACAATTTCTAGACAATAATTAGACTATCGATATGTGCTGGCGTGAACTTCGTGATTTTTGTTGTTGTTGTGGGGATTGACTTGGGATAAAAAAAAAAAAGATAATATAATACAGATAAATTAGCTCCAAACCAAATCTAAGTTTTTTATGAGAACAGGAGGAATGAGTGCTACAGGTTCCAAAAAAGTAATTAAAATCAGGTGCACTTCAGGAAGAAAAATGACATTGAAAAACAAAGATATCCTTTTTCAAAGAAGACAGGGTGAAATCCGAGGCACTCTGATAAAAGTCCTTTATTAGAGAAGGGACCCAAGTCTAAGTTTTTTATGACTGAAATATTTCAAAAGGACAGAGGAATTAAATCAGAAAAAAAAAAAAAAATTACTAAAAAAATAAATAAATGTTAAGTTGCTATATGAGAACAATATATCTATATATTTCACAAAGGAAACATAATATTTTTCCTCTCCCCTCCACCACATATACTGATTATCATGAAATGTATTACTGTTGTTTTGGCTGGATTATTGTGATATTTTGTTGCATTACTCTGAAAAAAGGGCACACAAATAAATACATTAATGTCCCATAAAACCTCAAAAGGTAATCTGCAAGCTGAAAAATCAATCGGTCCATAATTGGGGAAGGGGAAAACAACAGAAAGATTTCCGAATACACACAATATGTCACTTATAATCTAAACTTCCTACGCTTAAGAACGACTTTATAAGAAAGTTGAGATGTGCGTGTCCTTGAGAAAGCCCATGCCCATATTTGGTGGGCAGAGCAGATCAGGGACAGAATAGAATTGTGTGGGAACGCTTCACTCGGCTCTTTCTCTCTTCCTCACAACCAGTAAGAAAAAAATCGCCTGGGTTTAATTCAAAATCCCTCCTCAAAATCTGTCTTTTGTTGAGCCACCTTTGTCCTTGTGTGTGCGGGCGAGAAACTGCGAGGAGAGAAATTGAATTACTTTGGGAATAAAAGGAGATTTCATTCAAAAATAATATTCGAGGGATGTTTCTGAGTCAGGATTTCACCTCTGTTCCAAAATAAGTCAAGGCCAAGTCTGTATTTGGAGAATAATGTTTTAACAAATCAGATAAAGTGGACTTCTTTTCACCTCCTGCTGAATTAAAGCTTTAAGCAATGGGGACTGGCTTTGTTTTGTTGTCTTTCTGTCAGGTTAAATAGTTTTTCTAGTGCGAGCTGGAACGATCTAGTTAATTTACAACTTTATTAAAAACCTTGTCAATGTTACTGTATATTTATGCTGGTATACATGTGTAGTTTTTTTCATCTAAAATGTATCAAACGGCTGCTTTGAAGTTTGCGGTGTGTAGCTACATGTGACCTGTAGCTTGGCTAGTGGCGCCACCTGCTCGTTTCTATGGAGACGTGCTTTTAGATCAAACGCCTTATTTTTCCCTTTCAGACTTGGAAAATTAGTGTTGCCCCCGGTTCCATTGGAAAAGCAGATGTTTACAAGATTGGCAATTCTGTAATTCCATATCAGGCAAGTATAGCGGCTGGACTCGTACAGTTCAATCCAATTCAACGTTATTGCAGACTCTAGGTCCGATTTAAAACATACTGACAGACAAGATAAAAAAAAACCAAAAAAAAAGATAAACAGCTATGACTTTAAAAAACAGCGGGAAAAAATGAGTTTGATCATGATATTAAGCTTTTTTTTATATATATAAATTAAACTTATCCTAAATTTTGGCTTGAGGTAGTAAGGAAAAAGATTGGGGGCAATGCAAAAAAAATCGTCAATGTTATGCAATTATTTTTTTATTATTTTTTACTGTTGCATTTCTAATTAGTAATGTTTTTGTTCTCATCCCAAGTCATAATTTGCTCATCTCTTGAAAAAACGTAAATATATTATAAAATTAAAGTTATAAAAAAGTAATTATAACTTTGTCTCTTTGGCAAATCGACACAATGCATTCAAAGCAATATTAAATCAAAAACATGAATGTTTTTGAGACGATTCTGAGACAGTAGAAATGTGGTACGAAGGGAGTGATATTTGTGTCAATATTCTGACAGAGAAAAAAGATCTGAGTCACTTAGAAACCTGTTTCTCGTCTCTCAAAGTCTTTTGTAAACACTCCAACAAACAACAAGTTATTTTTCTCTTTAAAAACATACATTTGCTTTTTCAAACAATTTTTTCATTTTCTTACAAAACATATTTATCTCTCAAACCTAATGTTGTTTCTCTTTCTAACACACAAGTTTTCAAAACGCTTGTGTCTGTCTCTCAAACTCATTTTTTGGCTGGTCCACTGAGGGCTGTTTTATGTCTTTGACAGTCTCTGGGTTTCGCTCATGGACTGTGGGGTTTTATTGAGGATTGGATTTGTTTAGTTATTTAAAGTCATGGCACTAATTTTTATTCATTTATATCTAACTGAATCATTTTTTATAATACATATGCACATATTTACACATACAGGACCTTTAATGCCTTACAGTGCAACATTCCAGTCAAAGCTCAAACATTGTAGTACATTTGACATTGTATACTTGTGTACAGTATAATTTCTTATAGAGTAGAATATAGTGTATATAGAAAACAAGTATCTCAGAAATACACCAAAAATATTCTGAGATATCAAACTTTTCGTGGTGCAACTGAAGGCACGTGACAAATAAAGTTTGACTGGACAATTTCATATTTTGAGGCAATACTTTTGTTTCAATATGGTACTTGCTCTAAAATGTATGTATGAATTGTATTAGTGACAGACTCATATCAGAGTATTTTGTTTCCCATTGGAGCTTTTAGACCAGACCTGAACAAAACTGTGGGCTGAGGGCTACATGTGGCCCAATTCATACGTCTATGTGGCCCCAAACCCTTCCCGGTAATAATTTCTGGAGAATATGAATCTGTAAAGTAGTCTAAAATACTCAGCCTTCTTAACCATAGTTTTGGTTCAATACAAGCAAAACCAGAAGAGAATGTTGAATTATTATCAATCACATAATAATAAGCTTGAAATACCTTCATGATGTAAAAAGGTTCAAACAAAACAATAGCCGCAGATGCTAAAGATTAGCTCAAACAAAATGTACACAAACACAAAGAAATCACCAGATATAGATCCATGTTCCTCTCTCCTTCTCTTATTTTTATTTTTTTTCCTAAATTTTCTTAAAGATAATTAGAAAATACTGTATGTTTTACCAATTTGAATTCAATGGTAACCGAACCCTGGGAGATATTATTTACCGCTAATGCTGTCAACATAAAGGTGCAGAGAGACATGTTTGTTACTGATATCAGTGAATTAGGCTAAAAAACAACTCCAAGTACATTTTTGAAGTGGGAGCAATGTCAAAACTCAAAACATTTTAGCATAATACGTCTCCTTTAAAAATCCTTGGCCGGTCGCACAGAAGTAAGAGATAAGCACACGGAATAATGAAGACAAATCTGCCTAAGTATTAAGTCAAGGATTGAGGAGCGAGCGAGTTTAGACAGAGGGAGAGAGATGTTACGAGACGCAGAAAGTGAGACAAATGCAGTTATTAGAGAGGCCGCGGTGGGGACGCTTACAGTAGAGAAACGACAACCCGGAGCCACAAAACACCAGCTCTGCTCTCCCATCATGCTTTACTCTGAGAACAACTGCTACTGGGGAAAAAAAGATCCTAAACCGTTGCAGTTTCAATAGTGGTTGAAGGTATAAATTGTCACATTTGTTTTGGGGCATGGCTATAAGCTAATGCAGCTTCCTGGGAGTTCCCTTTTACAGAACACCAACAAACTTTACAAATAGAATATGTATAACTTGTATGACTATGAGGTTTTGTAAAAAAAAAAAAAAAGATAATTTAATTGAATTGAATTGAGTCTCTGATGTAGGGGTCCCTAACCTTTAGTAGGATAAGGATAATTTAACACGCTTACAAACTTACTATTGCAAATCTCGACATTAGCTTTGAGTACTAATACATTATGATAGATGGTTGTAAGGGTATAAAACTGCATTGTAACCAAATGCCTAAAAAAGTTTGGCTGAAATCACAATAGATCATTTTGACAGCCTTGAAACAAGATTTGCAAATTGAACAAATGTAATACAAGTGCTTTACCATGCTTAATGTGAAATACTGTTTCTATTTCGGTTCATCTGGATAAAATCACACAAAGACAAGTTCGTTTTTACTTGCAAAAGCAATTAGATGGATAGCCCAAATTAACCAAAGCTATACATTTAAATACTTGGACATGGCTGTTTCACAAGACGCCCGAAATGTGGTCATACTGATGAACCATTAGCTTGTTTCAACACCAAAAGACTAGATTTGCACACTTCAAAATAGGTCAACCCAAAATGTTGTCTAGACCGACCATATTCACATTCATTTATATGATAACCTAGACAGCTAATCCATTAACACTGTTTTTCCATTTGAAAATCCTATCCTACTAATCTATTAGTCAAAGAACATCAACATGTATTCAAATTAAGATACAAAATACTTAATTCATTGAAGCACATATTTATGTCGCCTTTCTCTCAACGTTTGCGAGTCTCATGTATCTGTACTGTTAGTCCGTAGGTCCTTTATCACTATCACTATTGTTAGTAAGTGCTGCATAAGAGCAAAAAGAGGAGGAATCACCAAAGGAGTCTTGGTGCAAATGCAAAAGGGACAAAAACAAAGCAAGAAAGTACTGCACACTCAAGATGCAGACATGTCATTTTAGCCATTATCGCCTCTGAAAGAAAGCAAAAACACGATAGCACAAGGTAAATACTATACTTTGGATGTTTGTATTTGGAGCGTGCGATGCTTTCCTGCTTTTTGAAAGTGATCCATGTGATTTGAAACACGAGTGACGCTTCAACCCATCCATGAGCAAACCTGGGAGGCAGAAGGTTTGATGAATGATGACGTCCAATGTGAGTACAGTTGATGAGTCTGAGAACGATCTTCTGAAGCCGTGTGAACTATACATAGTTCCCACATGACGTCACTACATACGGGGATTTGCCGACCCGGCGCCATTTGTGTTGGCATGCTGTGGGCAAAACAATAGAAAAAGAAGCTGAAACGTGTTAATGTCGTGATAAAGTTGAAAATGGTCATCTCCTGCTGGGTCAATGGATGTTCAAATCGTGCCGGAGGTTCCGTTAAACTTGGATTTTACAGTATACCCATCATTAGACTTCATGAATGTGAGAAGACTAAGCTTTTGTCAGAACAACGACGGAGGTTATGGCTTGCGAAGATAAACAGGCAAGAAACTCCCTCAAAACACGCAAGAATATGCTCGGAGCACTTTGTGTCAGGTGCGTATCGTATCTTATAATGTGTTGACAGACGTAATTTACTCAGTACTAACTTGTGTATGCTGATATCTGGTAACTTGAGAGTTTCATTATTTAGATTACTTTATTATGAGGAGGATCGGTGTCGCGTCCGAGGCTCTCGAGGGCAACGTAAATGTATTAAATAGATAATAATAGTTCTATGGTGGGCTAAAACAATGTTCACAAACAGCATTGCTTCTGTAAAAAGATCTGTGTCATAAAATAAACTGCTCTTTACGCCTGGAAAAATCAGTTGCCCACCATTCACCAAAACATACGGTCAAAAACGCGGAAATAAACAATAACAGCAATCCAGAGTGTCCGTGTGGCATTAGCATTAATTAAATTAATTGTTAATATAATTAAAATAATTAAATGGAGCTCCAACTGGTATTAAATCTAAAGTTTTTGAGAAATGTTTGCATTGCTTGTTAATTTTTGCTGCATAATTTGATCAAATATGTAAAACATGTCCGTAGCACGTTAAACTGTGGTGCCATTGTATTAATATACAATTATTTGCTCAAAAGTTGCCCTTTTTTTCCAATTTGCGTTTGAATATCTACATTTATTCTCATTCTTCTGTTTAATGGAATGCACAAACACAGCAGCGATGTGTCTGATGGCGTCTCCGAGGAGGTCATGTGACATTCATTGGTCTGTGGGAACTATGTATAGCCAGAGATGTAGATACATGTTTTCCTCACAAAGAAGAAAAATGTCATTGCTTTCTTCAAGGAGCAAAAATTATAGGGTTAATGGAAATTTAAGGAAAAAAAACCCTATAGATGTAAATAATTCATTTGTTTTTTCATCTTGACCCTTTCATGCATGAATTATGATAGGGTCCTTCAAGATTTCACTAACATCACCCTCACTAGAGTCAGATAGTTCCTGGACTGTCCTCTAGGCTTTTCTATTCTGCTCCGTCCCTGATCGCTAGAAAATACATGGAAAAGGATCATTATTCTCATGATATGCCCAATGTTCACAAGATATAGAATAAATTGTATTGTATTGTATATGAAAAAATGTAAATTATTTGTGGCCAAAACTGTATTCAAAATGAAGTATTTCCAGAAACAGAAATACAGTTTGAGCAACACTATGCACTGTATTCAAAATGTAGCCTGTGATGCACAACGTCCACTTTGGTGGACACATGATTCATTGCAATTTCCTCAAAACAGAAAATCAATACTTGGGTTTTTCAACAATTATACGGATCCTTAGATGTTACTAGACGTGCACATATTTTTTTTACCTGTTAATAATGTATGAACGGATTTTCCTCTCTCACTAAGCACATTTTCTCTTTTGTCGGCCATCTTTTTTTTTGTATATTTATTTGTTTATCAGTAGGTAGCAGTGCATATGACAAGACCATAGACTGTATATATTAACGGACAGAGTCACGCCTATCTCCGCCGTTCTAACCAATGGGTCAAAAAATGTGCTCTACTGGAGCAATCCAAAATGGCCGCGAGTGGTCCCGCCCACAAGAACATTTTGAAAAAACGCATCTGCGCATGCGTCAGCCGGCGAAACTCCATTCATTTCAACGAGAGACTTCAAAAATTCACAGCAAGTAAACTAGAGTGGACCAAAAAAATTCACCCCCCTCAGCATTGACACACATGTGGAACGGAGCTTTGGGCCAAGAGCCAACTTTTGGTCCATCCTGTAAAGGTGTTTTTGAGAGGTCTGCCAACGCTATATGTTAGCATTGGCTAATTCTTCTTCTGGGTCCACCCCCATCGGCCCGGGATGGTATCGCAAAGATGTCAGCGCACGTCATTTTGGCCACTTTTGAGCCGAAACCCGCCCCCACTGGGCAAGACACACTAGCGTCCACTATATTGATATATATGGAAGAAAACAACTATTGAATAGCTGTCTACTGTAGTGACCACTATGCATGAAAGGGTTTAATACATGCTAAAACTGTTATATAAGTGAAATTCATTAAAACTAAATGCTAACGGATGCATGTAAACACTGTGTTGCTATGGTAACCGGCACTCACTCCAAGCTGAGTCTGCTCTGAACCATGCAGTCTCTGAACATAATTGCATAGAAATAAACAACATATAGATACAGCTTTAAGTTTTAAAGATCAAAAAACGTACATAAGCTGAGTAATCACACGGCCGTCATATTGACTGTTTTGGGAGTTCTAGTGTTTGGAAGCGGGAAGTTTTCTACAAAAACAGTATAATAACAAAGAAAGAACAAAAGGATGGTTTGACACGCAGCCACGGTTTTCGGCAGAACAGAAAGAATGAATTGAAAGCCCGGTTGGCAGAGAAATGTGCTTTATACTGTACGCTGAGTGAAAGGGACAAAGCCAGGCGAGCTCCCAAAACCCAAGACAATTAAATACCAAAAAATATTTCAAGAAATGTAGAAGTTGTTGGATTATTTATGCATCGAATGACAAATAGACAGTCGAGCGGTTTAGATAATGTGAAACGGGCACACGCTTTGATAAATGAACAGAGAATTTTCTGTTTTGGCTCAAAGAAGCAGCAGGATTAACATTTAAAACTTAATCTAAACACAGACACGGTTAATGTATGTTCACAGTGATTTACCAAGAGGACATTTTGGCACATCTGAAAAACCTGGGAATGCAATCCATGGCTTGTCCTTTTTTTAAGTCTGTAATGATATTCAATGTACATTTTTATAGCTGTTATATATGAAATGTAGGAGCATTAATAACAAATACTTTTTTTTAACCCCCTAGTCCAGTGTTTGAGATGTAGTTTGATGGTTTGTCAATGTAAGGTTATAAAAAACCAATGAAATGAAATGAAATGAAATGAGAGTGCCTAAAACCAAATGATAGAGACGCCCCGATGAGGTAAATTTCAAATAGATAGTGGCTCCAAAAGTGATCCAGCAAATGTTTGAGGAAACCATTAACATTGACATTAGCAGTCGCAGCAAAGTATTTCTCTGGGAGTTCTCGTAGTTTCAGAATTATATGAGTCCAAGAGTTAAACTCACGGGCCCCAAGCCACAGCTCTGTAAACTAATCAAATATGAATCTCCATGTTTAACTCATAGTCATTTTATTGCAGCTATGATTCCTAATATGGTCTGCAGGAAATGAGACTGCTTCTTGTCGGTAGTTGTTGTTACCGCTGTGAACCGGAGCATGTGTGCGCCATGTAGCAGCGGGACGCGGCTTATTAAAACTAGCATTATGATCAGACAAGACGCTACGACAACTCTACTTCAGATCTTGATCAGCGAGTGCTTGAAAATGTTATCGTCGCTTTGT